GTGCAGGAGGAGATCCCCAATTCTAATGGAAAGAAAAACCAACTGGGGAGGCTGAAGCAGTTGTGTCCCTGGGAATTCGATGAAGGTATTAATGCGCTGCCTTTCCTAAGTCCTGGGTGGATAACCGTGGTGTAAAGATTTGTTTATTAAGAGAAGCTTCTGCCCAAATTAAGGTGCAAATGCAGTCCTTTTCCGGTGTTAATAGTAAAAATGTTATTTAACAGGAAATGCAAACTTGGGAGATAAAAAGAAATTATGGAAGAGAGGCAGGGTGGGAGAAGAGTAAGACATTAAGTAGGAAGATATCAGTACCACCTGGATTCTGTGTTGTCCAATTGGTCCTTCTTCCCTCTGGTCTTCTTGGTGGTGGGGGTTCCCAAGTTGCTCTGAAAGTACCACCTTTATACTGGATCCACAGGGTGCTCACAGATGTTCCCACACCTTGGGCTGGAAGTGATGGAAGTGTTTATTCCCTTACCCACAGTCTCTCCAGTGGAATGTTTGTCTGGTGTCCTAATTGCAAACCTTCAGCACTGTTAGGCCAAGGCTTGGTGCTTTCCTTCATGCCATCTGTGCTTCTCTTAAATTCCCCTTGTGCTGCCTTATCTCTTATGGGAACATCCTTCTTGGACAGTGTTCTCAAGTAGATAATTGTGTTCTTGCACCTGCTGAAAAGGCAGCTTTGAAGGCTGCATACATGAAGGCACTGCTCTACATTTCTGCTCTACCATTATTCCTTGCTTGATGGTCATGAAAAACCAAGACTCTTTTTTCTGCCATTGCATTCCATAGTAACTCTTGGTTTAAAAGACAGCAGCAGCAAAGGCCAGAAATCTGTGCTTCTGCAACCTTATCTAAAACTCTTAATTTTTAGAAATTCTCCCTCTGTAGTGCAAAACCAATCAAGAAGAAAGAAATGTCCAATAGATTGCTGTTTGGGAGAACGTGGTTAAAAGGAAGAGCCAGGCATTAGAAAGTCACAGGGATTGGATTTTTTCTTTTCATTTGATTTCTAGTAAACACACAGTTGACTCAGACAGTTGATTGAGCCACCACTTTTTCCATCAGCAGCTTTTCAAGTCTGCATGCTGGAGATAGAAACCTGTCAGACATTTACTGCAGACTAGTTTACTGAAACATGTAAGCATCTCAATGATTTCATCATTGTTTGTTGAACTCAGCCTTTCCATGGCAACTCCATGGAAGCTACAAAACCTGGACTGTGGTTTGCTGGAGTTGTAGTTTGAAGTGGCCTGGGAGCTCCTCTCCATCCTAGCTGCAGAATTTCTTTCTTCAAAAGCTCTAGAAATGGTACAGACTGAAAACAGCATTGAAAAGCTAACCAGAAAATCCACAAGGAGTACTTGATTTGTCATCAGAGGGACACACCCAGTAGGGCAGAGTTCAGTTGCTTTGTTAAATCTATGTCTTGTCCCTTTTGGAGGTTGAGCTTGCAAATGACAAGGTTTTTTTAGCCTGGAGGCATGTGTAGAGTGTGCACTCTTACAAGTGGTGCTGTGCTTGTAGAGACAGGTGCCTTGAGACGGTCTTTGCACATTTCTTCTGCACATACACATGGTAACTGCAAACCTTGGGATGTCTTTTGGAAAGATTCGTGCTTGAGTCTCTAAAGATGTGAGCATTGTTCTCCAGAAGCCTGTTAGAAAATTCTGCCCGGCTGCTGTTGAAAAAATCTGTACTGTGTTTCAAGTTGGGGCTTAGGCTGAAGCTTTTGTGTGGACTGAGCCATGAGAGCAAATGCACTTTTGGAAATGAAATGCCCACCCCAAAGCTTACCAGCTGTATTGAACATACTGTGACTATTGCTATTTCTGTCCAGTTTAATTACCCCTTTGACACTTCTGTTTATACTTCTGCTACACCATGTAGCAATGCAGAACCTGTAGAACAAAGTGGCCATCCTCTTTCTAAACCCTGGGACTGGCTACTGTGGAGAAGATCACATGTGCCCTCCTATGATAAAATGCTGTGAGAAGGAAGCTCTAAAAGGACTTGTTCAAGCCAATACAGTGGGTGTTTTTGGATATTTAAGATTATATAATAAAGATCCTACTTTTCTGCAGGCGAAACAAAAGATACTTCCATTGCCTCTACATGCTCTGCAACAGCCAACCAGCCAGACTACTTGAGGTGAGTAAAATTGCCATTAACTCTTGCCACTCTCAGTGGGGTGCAGTGTCAAGCTGTTTCCTGTGTGGAAAGGATAAGTTGGGGAAGGTTTGGCTGGGCCTCCAAGGCTCCGAGCTGAGATGAGCACCGAGGTGGGTTAGGCCTGGAAAGGCCCTTCCTTGCTGCAGTGCAGGTGCCCAGGGCCAGCTGCAGCAGTGGTGCTGCATCCCGTCATGGGATTTGCAGTGCAGGAGGGGAGGGGGAAGTGTGTGTGTGTGTGTGTGGTATAAAGCAGTGGGAATTGCTCTCAGCTTCTGTCAGAGCTGTGATGTTGGCAAGGGCAGTCATGCCTCCTGCAGCCCTTGGGCTCTGGGGCAGCTGCGGCCTTTGGAGCAGGCGCGGCAGGGCCCTGGCTCATATTGGATACAGCCAGGGATGTTCCGTGGGGAGGCTGAGGGCCCTGCAGGGGAGCAGCTGAGGGAGGCCTGTGGTAGGGCTCTTGCTAGGGGATGTCCCTGGGCAAAAGCCAGTAGTCCAGGCTATTGCTTCTCTGCTACCTCCCAAAATGTTGAAAGGCCTCTGCAGTTTTCTTTTCAAAACCATGCAGCACACCAGTCAGGTGCAGCTGGCCTGGGGTGCATCAATCATATATGTTGTCTGTCTTGGTACTGAATTTCAAGTTGTTAAAGATTTCCTGCTTGTAAATATTAATCTCAGATGCTTTGAAGGATTCATTCCCATGAGGAAAGAGTTCTTGTCATCCAAAAAGAAACCGGTCTTCAGGGCCAGAGCAGCAGAAGTACTGGTGTGGCAGTGTTGAAGTGATATCTATTATTCTCATTGCCACTTCATCTTGGATTTGTGTCATGAGTTTGATAGAACTGCACTTGTGTTGATTTGAGGGGGAAGGGAATGAAGAAGGCTTTACTCCCATCAGTGGCTTCAAGCATTGATGAGTTTTGCCCTCCTTAAGAGCTGATGTGGTTTGGGGTTTAGTTGTGGTTTCAGACCAGTCTGCAGTTTGTTCTTGTGCCTCTGATACAAGTGCCTCTTTTCAATGGTCAGTGATGTAACTGCTGCTCACTAGAAAAATGAAATTTTATCCTTAACTCTGCTTTGCTGTTAGACAGACAAAAATGGAGCTCAAAAGTCCAACTCTGCACCCAGTTCAACAGAAATGCAGTCCCTGCCAAAATAGTATTGCAGATGGATTTTCAAAAAGAAATGTAAATGAAAAAGTTTTCCTACCCAGAAAGAAAGAAGATAAAATTAGGCAATGTTTCTTCTCTCCCTGAAGATGCTGTGTTTGTTAGTCCTTTGACATTGGAAATCAGTGCCGATATTTCCTAAATGTGATCCACTTGCTAAGGAAGAGAACCTCTACAATATAAAACAGTAGTTCCTAGGTCTCATAGAAATGTGGCAGATTTTTAGAGCTACCTGACTTCATTCTCTTGAAGCACATCAGCTTGTTTGTAGAATCATTGAGACCCAGAGTGACTGACTGAGAGTTTGGTGGTCTGTGTTTGACATTCACCACGTGCTTGGTGTAACAGTACAAGTGTGCTTTCTGGAATAGAAACATATCAGAATGTTCTCTTAGAGTACACTCCTAGAAAAATAGTCTGATTTTTCCATTAGAAAATATGTAGCCATAGTCTCCTTGGACCAATGCCAGCGCTACAAGGATGACTTCAATGCAGAGTATGAGGAATACCAAAATTTATATACTCGGATTGACAAGATCAGAGAGCACTTCACACAGCTTCAGGAACAATGGAAGTCTGTGACCGCAGGCTCTGAAGCCCATCAGGTAGAGAAGGATAAAGCCATGAAGACTGTGCTTCATCAGAGCAGTCCTTTGGATTCCCTGGAGCTGCTCAGTGAGATGCAGGGAAACTGAGGAATTGGCATATATGCTCAGACACTGCTTGGGCTGGGTCAGATTTTGGCAAGACCCTGCCCATAAAACCCTGTTTGAGCTGTCTGAGAACAATCCGTAGGGTGAGAGGTGTCCCAAGCAGAGTCTTAGAGCATGTGCTCCTTCTGGTGCCTGTTGAGAGGCTCAATTGCAGATCTTGGGTGATACTGGGAGTTGGGGATTTGTTTTTGCAAACCTCCCAGAAGAGTGGTGGCTCACAGAAAAGAAAATCTCGGGAGTCAAACGGAATGCATTTGTAGTGCTTTAGTAAAGTTTGCATTTTATGGTGGTAGTGAAACATTCTTTGTGTGTTTTTTCTTGAAGATGCTACTTCATCGAATCCTAGCAGATTATCAGCAGATACAACAGGTATGTTTGACACCAGATCTGCAGAGCGTGGTTACTGCTGAGTCTGGCTCAAGGCTTTTTTAAAGCAAAGCACATCTTGTAAACTCTACAGAAGTCTTTGCCTGCCCTATTTTTTTTTTTTTTATTTCTCCTTCATAGGGTAGCCCCAGCTACTTTGAAATGAAGAACAGGTGCCTGTACCTCCACAACAAGCTGTCACATATTCAGAGCCTCATATCTGAATTTGACAAGCATTAAGTGGAGTCCTGGCACCAGGCAACTGCTTCAGCCAGAAATATCTATGAACTCTGGATTTTTTATTACAACTAGAAGATTAGGTTTTTAGGATTATTTTCATTAGTATTGAACAGTAGGTTCTGTTAGCAATAAAGAGTAGATTAATTCCAAAAAATGTAGAATTAGTTCAAAGAAGTTGAGTAAGTTAAAGAATTTCAAATATGATAGTATTGAACTTTAAGAATAAAGAAATTTCCCTTGTGACAACTCCTTCTCTCATTGTTACTTGTATCAAATTGAAGTGGCTTTTTTCTTCTGGCCAATTATTTTCTTCCAGACGTATGTTTGTCTAGTGAAATAAATTTATCAGGAAAAGGTTGAAGCCCAGTACTTCTACTATGAAGTTGCCCACATTTTAAGAAAATATTAGAGGAAATGGAAATTCTTTATGATACATATAGGGGTGTTTTCCAACCGTTCTCCTTAATGCACACTCTTTGCCTTAAGTGGTCCAAAGAGTAGGAGTTTGGACAACCCTCTCCCCCAGTCAGCTTGTTTGGGAGTGTTACAGAGGAATGTGTTATGGGCTGCTCTAAGCTGTCAGCTGAAGCAGCTGCCAGGACTGCCTGGAGATCATGGCCTCATCTTGTCAGTGAGCCAAGGAATATCCAGATCTTTGCAAGTGTTCTATAAAACACATGGAGAAGTGTTGGAGGCAAGGCTCATCAACAGATTTTAAAGAGAAAGTGGCTTGAAATGTCTTTATGGAGACTCTGTTTGTTTTGTAGTTTTTCCAAAATAATCTGTCACAACCAGTCTTTCTAGAGAGACACAGATATTGATTCCTGCACAGACCTAAAGGGATTTTGAAGTCTTGTCTTTTACCTAAGTCTCGTGCCATTAATTTCTTCAGGTGAAAGGGTAGAGGTGTGTCCAGCAATGCCATAACCTTCTTCTGGGGAAGGATATGAAATTGACTGAGGAAGGACAATATTTGGGAACACTCAAAGGGGCTGTGAACGCCCCTTTCTTTCTTGGAGACTATTTCACCAATTCCTCAATTGTCTGCATGCCGACAATGTTAAGCCTCCTGTATGTGAGACATCTTGGGGTGTTTGGTGATTGAACGCCTGATTGTTGCCCTTCTGTTCAAGTGCAGTTCAAGAAAATGTCACCTCTATAAACCCTGAGACTTGGGTCTTGCTTTGTCAGGGCCAGGGGCTGCTCCTACAGCTCGTCAGTGCAGCAGCACAAGGAACGGTGACGTGGGGAGCACGGGGTGAATTCTGCTGGGGTGCCTTCCCTTGGGCACTTGGGGACTGCTGCTGGTGGACGGAGCATGCAAGAGTGCTGCTGTTGAGAGTGTGGGCTGAGACAGAGGTTTTACAGGCCTTATTCTTTATTCTTTATTCTTTATTCTTTATTCTTTATTCTTTATTCTTTATTCTTTATTCTTTATTCTTTATTCTTTATTCCTTATTCCTTATTCTGGGTCACATTTCACTCTTGCTGTCAACTGCCTTTAGCATGTGTAATGTCCACATACTCCTTAGACCTGTGTGTTTCTGGCTGTCATTTCTGCCCACATCCCTAAAAACCAAAGGAGAAATAAAAAAACGCTCTATTCCAAACAGGAAGAAATAAAAAATGCGACAGTCTTATATGGAAAAAGACCTTCTGAATTTTACAATTAGAATGACACCAATTCAGTAAATGATAGTTGCTGGAAAGCTGCTTATATACCTGTTAAAAATGATTGTATGAGCTCAGGGCATTTGGTGAAGCTTGGATCTAACTCTGCAAGGGGAACAAAGTAGGAGCATACTACCCAAGGCAGTATGGTTCTATGATTCTAAGAAGCTACAAAAAGTATCTCCAGTGTAACAAACAAGTATGCTAATATATATCCATAAGTAATCACGCAAGACTGATTAGAGAAGTGGGGTTTTTTTTTATTTCTTTTTATCAAAATTTTACATATTCAATCTAAAAAATACATCATTTAGTCAAGGTACGCTAGAAGAAAAACATACAAATGTTTCAGAACATGCCTATTTAAATAGTTATTCTTTATTCTAACTTTCTATTTTCTTTTCTGACTTCCTAATTTTTTGAACTTTTCTCAATTTTTCTAACTTTCTGTTTCCTATTTTCTAGTGGGTTTTTTTTCAAAACCAATACACCATGGCCTAAGGACAATAACCAAGGTTTTCCGACTTTCATGTGGAAAACTTTACTAGTGCTGAAAACTTTTTTTCTCAGTCTCTATAAAGCTTAGTGCTACTCTGGGAAAAGGACACACCTATCTAGGACTGCAAGAATGAGGGGTGTAACCTGTTTTTCAAAGCATTATTTTCTAAAATAAGAGAGTTATCTCGAATGAAGGACTCAGGAATTGCATCTACTTCAACTTAAGCCTGAAGATATCATTTCAAATGCTCTAGGTACTGTCCAGGCACATACAAATTCACCACTGACCTCTTTCTTTGATCCCAATGCTGCCAGTGCCAGGGCAGTCTGGGAGGTGTTGGAACCAGTGGAAGCATTCCAGAAACATTTCATTTGTTCAAAACCACTTCCTTAAATAACTTTATTTTACAAATTGGTTTCTGATTTTTACTTTCTACTGCGATATAAGGTGGGGGGTTTATATCATAGCAGTTTTTCCTTTATGCCTTACACAGTTATAAATACCTAATTCTTCTTATTATTAATCTAATATCTGTGATAGATACATCACAGCCTCCACTAAAACCAGCTAAGAATAGCAACTCACAAAGCATCATTATCTACTTTCAGTCATATTTCTAAATACTAAAAGTAGCTGCTTTAAAAATAATTTTAAAATACATACATTTCTACAGAAGAACACCTTAGAGAATGCGGTAGTTTGGCATTTAGGAAAAAAGTGGAAAACATCCATGGACAGGATTTCTCTGAGAGAGGCTGCTGGGAGTTTCTTCTCTACTTGATACCAGGCCAACAGCTGGCCACTTCTGAGATTGACAGCTTTTTGCAGCACTGAAAACTATGTTCACCTTTGTGAATACCACCTTTGAAAGCCAAGCCCGGCAACTTCTTGTCTCTTTGTTTGCAGCCTTGAAAGGTATCGGAGCTCTGGTGCGGCTGGCCCGGTTCCCCCGCGGCCTGTGCGGCCTGGGGGAGGCTGGGCCAGACTCCAGCAGCTCCCGGGCGTGGGATGGAGAGTGTGGGACCCCCTCGCCCAGGCCAGGCCAGGCTCTGCTCTGGCCCCTCCTGGGAAACCCTCCAGCTCCCATTCCAGCGGGGTGGCTGAAGCCATTTCCAGGGGGACCCCTGGCCCCAGGCTGGGCCGGGCCACGGCTGCTGACATCTCGCCCCCCTTGGCCCGCACAGACGGCTCCAGGCTGAAAACCATCCTTCCAGGGGCTGCCCAGCTGCCCAGCTGAAATCTGACACCATGAATACCTAGCCGTGGCCTGGGCAAAATTTAACTCTTTCACTGCACAGATGAGATCTGCAGACTTTAATTGCCTCTCTAGTGAGAGAAAAGTCAGAGTAATCGACAGAGAGAGAGAAACCATAAAGCATCATGGTCAGTAAAAGAAATTCAAGCGTCAGATGGAAGGAGAATGAGGAGATGCTCTTATCAGCTGAAATATTCTTTTGGTGGGGCCATGGAGATGGACAATAATGTTCTGAAAATAACTCCTTTCTTTCATGAAAGAGTACTGGGGAGAATGAAGTATTCAAAGTGTAAATCTGAGCAAAGGTATCCATTGATGAAGCAGAGCAGACAGTGGAGTAACTGTGATCCCATGAGATGCTTGAACAGAGAGAGAGAGCTGAGAAAGACCCTTGGCCCCCAGGGAAAGAGCAAAACCTCTGCTCCCAGGGATGATCACAGAGACAGATGAAGAGAACCTTTGCCTTTGAATAACTCATCCTTCAAAAATACCCCTTGAGTTGATGGCCCATGAACACACCTCTGAGTGGTGTGAAAATGGGAGGAAGGCAGGATGGCCGAGTTTTTTCCTGGGAAGCTGCCTGTCCTGGAAATGAAAAGCCATGAGAAAACTGTTTTCTTGTAGAGAACTCTCCATGGAATGACACGAAAAATCTCCTTCTCTCCCTACAGAGACTGATGAAAAGACAAGTACTGTCTAGTTGGTAGTGCTTAAACATCCCAAGTTTTGTCTCTATGTTGTCAGATGGGAAAAGAAAGATTGCGGGGTTGTGGGGGGAAACTTTCTGGAGGTTTCATTCTGGTTTCTTATTTTTGTAGTCCTCTTAATCAACTTCCTTTATTCCTTGTAAGTTTTAAGCCTCTTTTGCCCTTCTTCTAATCTATATCTCACAGCAAGAAATGAGTAAGTACTCTGGTGGCTTTTAGCTAGAGCTAAAA